ATATATGTTACGAGAAATTTTATTATTCGGATACTACACATAATGCCCGGCCAATATATACAATGCTCGATTAATGTTAATCGGGCCCAAAGTATTCAAATTTCCCATAACATATACATTATATATCATAAAGATAATAATTAAAGAGACGTATTATAATTGAAGTAGACATATATCTCACTTGTTCGACGTATTCTTTATGAGCATTTATAGCCTTGTTCATCATTTCCTTCTTTTGTTGTTTGCTCTTACATTCCCCAGGAAGCATTACTTTTGCAAACTCGACTGACTCGGTGCTGGTTGATCTGATACACTCGGTTCTGGCATTAATAAATCTTCGTAATGCCGCGCTTTCGTAATGAGCTGGCGCCTTCTTTTGTAAATTATAGAAAGTCACTTGCAGCGCGATCTGAATAAAACTGTCGGGACTCAATTTAATTGCTTTTATAGCGTCTGCGCCGAATTTGTCGAATGTAAAACATTCCATATCTATGTCGTCTGAGAGTCTAAAAAATCACAAATATTATACATTACACAGTACTAGCGTAATTATAATCATAAAGGGATAATCAACCTACTTATCTACCGTATCAGTAGCTATTTTGATTGCACAATCTATAGTATCGTTAGTTTCAAACTTCAAAAGTTCTGGTCTCGGGAAATTCGCAGACTTTCCGTTCCTTGCGCTATTTTCTCTTGTCGCGCTGAAAATAAAACGAAATTATTATTTGCATTTTATTAAAATGATATTTTATGGGGTATAATTATTATTTACATATATCGTAATACATAATCGTGAAGGACAGCAACTGGAATTCCTTCACAGGGACTGTGTTCATATTCCATACCAATGTAACCATCGGCGGATATTATATACTGTAAAGATATACATATCCCTTATTTATCTCATCAAAAGATACTATGTTAAATATTTGGTTTATCTAAAACCATTTATTCATAATGTTAATCATATAGCTTACCTGTATAGTTTTGTCATGCCATCTGTTTCCAGCGTTTACATAGCTACTATAGCCTGTCATAGTTTGAATCGCTCTAACTGAAGCGTTGTTCTTTTCCTTAAAAACGTCTTTAGGTAAATCCTTATCCAGACACAATATAAACAAGGAACTTTCTATATCCTTGATTATGTTCCTATTGTTATCTAATTCTGAAAACAACAACGATAACGGTTCGAGATGCATAATTAAAAATTATAAAAAATTGTGTGGTTTAAAAAGATGAAACACAAATTGTATAAAGATAAAAAAAAAAGATAAAACTGAAGCAAACCTAAAAGTAAGCTATAATCCTTTGCCCAACTATCTCTGTCATTTCCAGTTAAAATTCCTATGGGCTTTCCTTGAGTATTTGAGCGATCTACGATATCTTTTACGGCAGCTAAGAGCTTGCCCTCGCTTAAAATGCCATCTTT